TTTTAAATTTGTCCAAGTTTTCAACTGCAGGTGATTGTAATATGGGAATATAAATAATTAATTGTGTGTTTAGGAACATTTTCAATAATGTCATTTATTTTGTAGTTGGACTATCAATGACTCTAGATTGTTTACCAGATTTTTTTCTACAATCTTACAAAAAGGAGTTGATTTATGATCAGTCTTTGCCATAGATTTATTCAAATCCACGCGTTTAGCTTCTCTAATGACTGGAGTTTAGATTTTGCATTAATTTCCTTTGCTTTCCCCCCCAGTAGTTGGTGTTTAGGGGTTCTGCGATTTCAAGATGTTCTGATTTTATTTATGTAAAACTATACCCCGTTCTAATAGCGAAACTTTTTAAAAATGTTGTTTAAAAGATGTTTAAATTGGCAAAAGACTTAACACAATATAGCATTTAACATCAGCGTCCGATAGGTTAGATTTGAGAAGAGTATTTAAAATATAAGCCTTAATTTGTATGGTTCGTTCAGAAGAAGGGAAGATAAACAATCGCAATTAAAATTGCTCTGTTTCTGTCCGTAATAATAACATTTCGTTATTTAATTTTCAGTCTTTTAATATTCGGAGATTCCATTCATTCCGCCAGCCGCATTGATCTTTAAACCAATCCCGTGTTTTCACGTAAACCGGGAAGTCAGCTCATCGAATCTCGAAATTCCTTTCCTGAGGCCCAGCCTATAGCGATCTTGCACGTCGCACTGATGGTGGAGGCAGCAGGCTCCTCACAAATGCAGGGTTAACTTCCAGCAGATCAGGATGTCCAGCATCCGAGTAGACAGTTCATGCTCGTCCCTGGGAGAAACCGAAATCTTTGCGGGAGAGTTTTCGAAAAAAAAACCCTTTGGTGACGCGGAATTCGCAAGGGAAGGTTCTTCCAGGGTGGTGTAAAGTTCAGAAGCGAACGGACTTAGCTTTTTATGGAGAGACGCTGTAGCTACTCGAATAGGTAATTTACCCCAATGCATTTTCAGCGCATCAAAGCTCATGTGAACTGCGACCATTGGTGAAAGTGCGCATGCCCCAGACTCCTCTAAGTAGCCGTTTTTATTTTGAGATGTTTTCGACAACTTCAGAATTGCGGAGGACTTGGGTGCTTCGGCCAGGCCCTTGAGGTCAGTAAAAGCGCCGTGATTCTTACACATCTGTGCAAACTGCCTCCAACAAAGTGCCGTCGTTTTTCGGTTACACAAACAGCTTTCACGATTTTGTCAGCTGGTCTTTCAGAGGTTTCAATGGCTTTTGAAAATATACGTAATTTACAATAAAGTACTCCGAAAGCACATTCAGTTGTTTTACCCGCTCTGGACAGTCGTATGTTGAAGCAGACACTGTCCACATCAGAATTTTCACCGCTGTATGGTCTGAGTACATTATCTAGCAACGGGTATGCTTCGTCTCCAATAAATACGTACGGCACACTAATATTGGTAGACGGTAAACAACCGTTGAGGATCTTATTTTTCATCATTTCAAACAAACCGAGGAGCGGAATATGCCTTCGTCACTTTGCTTGCGGTGATCTAGCGGTTAGAACGCTGGCCTTGTAATCCTGGGGTCTCGGATTCGATTCCCGGCGGTGCCCGAATTTATAACTTGTGTTGGACAAGGCCGTGGTCTAGGCAACACGGAGTTTTCCTCCGTGGCATCCCAACAATTACTCCATTCACACACAGAAGAAGGCAATGGCAAACCACTTCTGGATAATCTGCCAAGAACGTATATGAACAGATCCCAGTCCGAGAAAAGGATGGAAGAATCCTGTTCATATGGACCTGTCGTCACACAGAACACTAAATAATAATAACCAACATCAATAATTGTAAATTTATAAATAGCATCCTCCACCCCTTGCAGCACAATGGAATAGTACGACTTGTAATTGAAGCACATTTTTACGCAGCTATCCAGTAATTCCTCATTGTCACTGCCACTACTGATGTTTTGTTCATCTCCGTTCACTTAATATGCTATCAGCCCTGAATCCCCCATGCAGTACATTATTCTACATAGCTAGATCTTATTGTAAGATTTGAGGTTTTCACAGCAGTGAGTATGAAGATTTCCGTCTTCTGGGTTGTTGCGCTGTGTAGACTGGTCGATGTCAACCAACGTTTCAGAGGTCATACTGCCTCCATCATCAGGGCGGTGAATATGAAGATTTCTGTCTTCTGGGTTGTTGCGCCGTGTAGTCTGGTCGATGTCAACCAACGTTTCAGAGGTCATACTGCCTCCGTCATCAGGGCGAAGATCTTATTGTTTTCTCAGCTTACTGGTTGCAATTGTCAAGGTCTCCGTATGGAGCCCAGATGTCGTATAGTCTCTGGGTCTTTAGAGAGGATTAGCTTCTATAACTAGGGAGATCTGGGCCTTTGGGCACCCTGGACGGGGTTTTCCTAGATTCGTGTAGTGTCACGTACACCGGTTGATAGGCCCAATAACATTTGATGAGGATTACAGTTATGATAGTCTTTATTATGCGTTTGTAATGTGAACTTCGCTTATACAAATTCCATGCATGAGAGTTTTTTTACAATTCAGGTCCTCACGGCCACAAGATTGAAGATGGCTGTCTTCTGGAATGCTGCGCCGTGTAGTCTGGTGGAGGTTCACCGATGTTTCAGAGGTACTTGCTGCCTCCATCATCAGGGTGATTGAGGCATCAAGCACTTTTAAAACGTCCGTAAATTTCTGCTAGACTACAAGGCGCAGCATTCCAGAAGACAGCCATCTTCAATCTCGTGGCCGTGAGAACCTGAGTATACGGACGGTAAGACCTCCGGGGGCATCGCGTCCATATATAAATTCGATTAAATCTGAGCATTAGTGTTTAGAATCAGAGTACGAATGAATAAATGTTAAAACACACGTGGCTTAATAACAGGGTCCCAATAAAGAGCTCTAAAATGCAAAGCAAATTGATCTGATTTTTAAGCATTTCTTGTAGACCGTTATATTAAATGGAAGGGAATCGTTTACAACAAAATAATTCATTAATAATTTTTAGAAGCATACTGTCTTATTCCATTTGAATCAGTAGCATTCATTCTTACCCATCGTCTTAGAAATTTAATATATATTAGTAATTTATTTGACGATGCTGGTAGCAGCTCAGACTATTTAGCGTCGAATGATAGGATGTTGTTGGAAAGGATGTGGAAAAAAGCTGCCACGTCCTGATTTAAGTTACTATCTGGCATTTTTCTGGTGGAACTGACGAAATCCACGAAAAATATCAGTCGGGATTGCATCTCCTAGTCGAGATTTGAACCTGGGACCTCCGTAGTACGAATCAGATGCTCTAACGACTCGGTCACGACTTTCGCTAGCAGTGACATCAAGCGGCCAAGATCTTGGAACTCACATTTTTCTACAGAGTGACCATGATTTTCGGATTACATGTCATTCATCATTTTTATATTGGTTCAGAACTTCGCAATAGGAACGTAAGGTGAAGGTCACAATTTGAAGCCTTACAGTGATTGCTCTGATAAGAAATCTCCCCCAAAATTAATTGTTAATTATTACGTGTCAGTGTTATGTGCAGATAAGACTTACGAATGAATCCAACAGAATAAAATTCAAGTGTCAGTTATATCCGACAATAATAATTGTTCTTGTGCACTACCTACTACAGTGATGTGTAGCTCATGAGTTAGCGTTCTCTAGTGCATAGAATGTCATACCATTTAATATTATTCTGGTCACATTTTTATTATTGCTTGCAATTTCAATGTGTCACAGAGCATTATTATAATATTTTATGGGCCTATTTATCGGGTACACAGATTCTATCTACGATGAATTTGTCGGCAACATTTCTAGTTGTTTCTATTTACGAGTAATACCCATGCTTAGTTTGTAGGGATCTTTAGGATCTGTCTTTATACCAAATTACACATGCGTAGCTCAACTTGTTCATAGTTGTCGCTGTGAAACGTAAAGCTGAAGAGAAATGTTTATACAACTGCCGTGTTGCTGTTTTACATTTTACAAAAACAAAATCTTGGCAACATTTGCATGATAGAGTAGGGACACCCTCTTGTCCCCGGGGTTGAGAAATCACCCCCAAAGGCGGATGAACCAGACATGGACAAGGGCATAGGATGTGGACGACAACGGGAAACCATCACATTAAAGATCCCTGTGATAACCCTAGTTCAACGGAACTGACGGAAAAAAGTCCTGAGAAGAAGGATTCTGGAGACAAAACTTACCTACATTCGGATCTCCGGGTGGGTACTATATCAAGAAATCCATGGCAAATTAATGGGACAACTAAAACTGATAATTACAATAACGGCAGTTCATGACATGAAGACATATGACAAAAATAAAGATGATGACAACTGAAACTGCAGTAATCTCCTTCCAGTGCTGTAAAATAAAACGGAAAGGCATTAAATACCATTGTGTTTATGAAGTTACATCAGTATCATCTCATTAGAATCTGGTACCAACTTTATAAATCAGCATCAATTAGAAATCGTACCAAAACTGCAGAATATCAAAATTAGATATTCACTAACCTTGAAAAGCGACGAGGCGTGTTTGAAACTGGTGTATTTGCAAAGTTGGGGCCATACTACATTCATCAGAAAAACAGATTCAAGAATGTTGTAAAGGTTTTGAAAAAAACAAAATGATTCAAAGTTTCCCAACTTCTCCTCTGAAATATTTTGAAGTATTTGTGGTTCAATAACCACATAGCCATAGATTCTGAAGCATATAACACCATAGCCATAACCCTGGGGACGAAAAAACACAAGCATAGAATTACAAACACTGAAAGAATTAAGTGCATTAGACTTAATTCAAAGAGAATTGTCCATTAAAAATTGACAGTGGAACCACGGTTCCGGAGAATATGACGTAAATACGTCTCTCTATTTAATTTATATTTACGTCTCTGTAATGTAATGTAATGAAATATATTGTAAAGTAGTGAAATGTAATGTTATCTTCAATGTCATCCATCTAGTTACGAAAGCGGATTGTTGACGGCAGTAATATAAGACAACAATGCCGAGTAAACAGATGACGTTTCCTAGGTAACATAACAATGCACGCAAGCTACCCATTGTTGTCGATTTGTTGATACGGATCTTACACATTTTCGTTACACTGTTTTTGCCGAATGACCCTTCCGTATAGACGCATTTACGTCAAAAATACTCTGTAGGTAATTTAATTGTCATTTAAATTATCCAAATGCATGAGTAACTTGAAAGGAACAGAAACTACAGAGGAAATAGCAAATGCCTATTTATTCTAAGTTTAATAACTAACTAACTAGATAGCTTATGGAACCCGAAAATTCATCACCGAATTAACTAAAGCCCTCCACCGGACCCGTTCCCGGGCCAACAAAATCCAGTCTCCTTCAACTCTGTCCCAATTCTCTATTATCAAACGCCTGAAATCTGTGTTCTTCGATCAGAGTGAGAGACCATGTTTCGCACCCATAGAAAACAACAGGCAGAATTATTGTTTTGTATACAGGTAACACTCGATTTACGCCAGGGATGGGTTCCTGGACGAACCGGCGTAAATTGAAACTCTTTTTATAATGTAAATCAATGGGAAGTCAATGACATGCGGTCCCGTTCCTCAAAAATTGATGACTTAATTTCCTCAAAAATTGACTTCGCCTTATCCGTGATAGCAATTTCAATCAAGGGAATGTTTTTTCGATTCATGTCATCCACCCATAGCAACAGTAATTCCTCCATTCTTTCTAAAAGTTTGCTTCTGCTATAACTCACTTGCGTTGCACTTACTCTCGTAGCCTGTTGCATCGACTGTTTTATTTTACATGAATTTTTCATTATGGTAGTCACAGTGGAAGGAGGCAACTTCATACTTCTGCACACATTACGACGGGTATCACCACCCTCTATTCTACGAATTACGCTCATCTTATCTTCTAACGCAATAGACCTACGCAACTTTTTAGCAACACATTCACTTCTCTTACCAGACATGGTGGCTCTTCTACAATTTATAAACATAAAACAGTTGCTACTGCAGAATAGTGGTCGAACAACAACACAAACACGTTCAATGTGTCAACAAGAAGCGAACTGAGCGCATTTTTCCTTACTCCCTCATCAGGCTGAACGCAAATGACTCACCGTGAAGAGTGACCAAACAATGCTCACGTGACTGTTGTGCAATGTTAGCGGATTTTTATCTCGCAACTACTTAGCAATGAGTGCAGAGGTGACTGTATTTATAATTATTATTCAAAATCAGCAATATAAGAATTATGATTTAGTGTAAGAATCAGTACGAGAAACATTGTAAAACGTTATAAATAATAGTAATTTTTTTTTTCACTTTTTGACTTGCTGGTTTCAAAACCGGCGTTATTGTGAATCAGCGCAAATTGAACCGGCGCAAATCAAGGGTCACCTGTATTTTAATCTTCAGGTTTTAGACAGGAAGACAAAATACTTTGAACTGAGAAGTAGCAAGCATTTCTGGAATTTAGTATCCTCATAATATCCTCATGAATATCATTCGGATTTCTTATTTTGTTTCCAAATATTTGAAGTGTGCCACAGTTTCAAAGGATTTGTTAGCCACCCTAAGACCATTCTGCCCGCCTGTCTGTTGACGATGAGATACTAACATGTACTTGGTTTCTTCGAAATTTATTTCCAGCCCAACCTTTCTGCTAGCTTCATGTAAAACTTCTGCGTTCCTCTTTATTGTATTTATATCGTCACCCGATAAATTAACATCATCAGCAAATGCCAATAGCTGATGTGTCCTATTCAATGGCAATCCCTCCTGCCTAAAATGGACTTTCCTGATGGCATATTCTAGCGCAAAGTTGAAGAGCAAGGGAGACCGTTATGGTGGAAAATGTGTCAGAGAAATATATACATGTATGAATTTTGCTACAGGTTTCATTTAAACACATTTTTATTAGAATCACTAGATTCTTTATTCTAAGCTTAATGTAAAGTTTAATTTAATATATAACAATAGAATCTACACTTCAGTTTGGAGCAGAATGGTGGAAAGAAAGAAGCACTAGCAAGTGCCGTATTTAGTATTCAAACGCTTAGTCCCAAAATATTTCTGTTTAGAACAAATTTATTTATTTGTTCAGAGATAAAATCATAGCAATTTCATAGTCCATGAATGATATTCCTGATTCATTATATGAATTTAAATCTCTCCTTAAGTGTGTATCTCAAGTAATAGTATTATACTGAAGTTTAGAATGCATTAACTTCACTTTCGCTTTTGTTTTGACATGATGTTCACGATTACATGCAAATTAAATTAGCATATAATAATAATCCGTGGCATAACAGCTCCAGAGAGCCAAAGCCGACTAACTTGACTGCTGGCCTCAAGTTTACATGCCTAAGCAGAGGTGAACGATCATCCAACCAGATACAGGGTGACGTGTGGTCAGCACGACGAATCCCCAGCCATTGCTAGTTTCCATGACCGGATTACGCTACTCATTGTAGCTCCCCAATTTCCTCACGATGCTGGGTTGGCACCGGTCCCATACACTGGTCGAAAGCTCGTGAGAAAATTTCTTCTCCTCCGAGACTCGAACCAGCGCGCATTCCGTATCGCCGGTCCGAAGCATGATGCCTCAGACCGCGCGGCTACGGCGCGGGACGGAATTAGAATATAGGGGTAATACAATTAGAAAGAAAGTGACATCTATAATATCAGAACAGGAGTCTTACGTACTTTGCAAATCACGTCTTTCAAACACCAATGAGCGTCTTAGAAATATGATTCTTGTATCTTAATATTAATGTCAACATGAAATGGTCTGAGGCAATACTATTTTTATTCAATCTATATTATCTCAAATCAGAGTAGAGAATCTTACCAGAAGAATGGGCAGACCAACAACATCAAATACACTATCCACGTGTTCCCACTTTAAGACCACTATCAATATTATGGTGTAGTAAAATATGAATGCTACGAACATGCATTCACAGACTGCGACAAAGTAGTGATAAGCGGTCACAAGCTGATGGAGCCGCACTGTCCTGCGGAAGTAATGTGTGTAGATTCCTCGTCTTGGTATGTTCTCAAAAACAAGCCTGTTAATAAAGACATAAGAAGTTCGGTAATCACCAATTGGTTAAGCTGTACTCTTGGGTGGCACTGACAAGATATATTTTAGTTATAATGCTCTTGCATGTATTTAGGCCCATATATAATATGCGGCTTAAGATAAATTAATGAATGAAAAATACACAGTGTTCCATAAATGGCTGGGAATTTCTTAACTAGCTAAGCAACTATTAGCTTATCAAGAAAGACTTTGTTTCATGGGGCTGATTTTTCTTAGTACCTCACTGGTCTAGATGTTCATTCATTGGAGATCCATTGCAGGAAATTTCACACCACAGATGTCACATTATAGAGTCATAATTTGTTTTACCTTGTATTTAATTAAATATTTACTGCATTGAAAAATGTTTAAAATTAAAATAATAGGCCTGAGTGAGATCTATATTTTATGTTCTGTATCATCATTTTTGTACAGTGAGCCATTTTTGGAAATCTGATATAGAATTTGACATGATCATCATGAAAAACAGAAGTTACATCATATGATACAAATTTAAATAGAATTTGCCAGATATCTGGTTTTAATACGTGGATAGGCATGACCGTCCTGTTATGCAGTTTATCGAAAGATGCATAAAATTGTTAATATCTATCTCTCTATTATAAAAATTTGTGATTTGTCGTCATCGTCAACCTATTTGTAGGTAGAGGTGTAAGACAGGGATGCTGCTTATCACCAATTCTTTTTAATGCATGTAATGTTACAATCTTGTAATGGGGCATACTGAATGAATGAATAAGTAAGTAAATAAATAAACAAACGTCATCAAACAAACATTTGTTTACTCGGCATTGTTGGGTATACCAACACAACAATGCCGAGTATTAGGGTCGGTTGCGTTTTAAAAACTTGACCAACAACTTATACAGTTTATCGAAAAATGCATAAAATTGTTAAAATTAAAGAAATTGAACATAATTATGACTGTGTTGCACATTCTTTTATGAGCTCAGTTTTATATGTATTTATATTGACTTGTAAACTAGTTTTTTGTTAGAAGATTTCTGTCTTCTGGGTTATTGCGCTGTGTAGTCTGGTCGATGTTAACCAACGTTTCAGAGGTCATACTGCCTCCGTCATCAGGGATCACCGCTGTGAGAACCTCAAGTCTTACATAGTTTTTTGTTAGTCTGTAAACAGCCTACATGTGATTCATCTTGGTATTTATATTCCCAATCAAATTAACATAATTACCCTTGCACTATCTGTGTCATTTAACTTGGCTTATAGCAGAATTGTGTCCACGAGGGAGTAAAGTTAGTGTGACATGCTTTTTGCATACCCTGATAAATGCTACGTCCCACACCGTAGCCGCGTGGTCTGAGGCATCATGCTTCGGACCGGCGATACGGAATGCGCGCTGGTTCGAGTCTCGGGGAAAGAAATTTCTCATGATATTTTCGACCGGTGTCACACAGCATCATGAGGAAATTCGGGAGCTTCAATGGGTTGCGTAATCCGGTCATGAAAACTGACAATGGCCGGGGGTTCGTCATGCACAACACACGTCACTCTGTATCTGGTTGGATGATCGTTCACCTCTGCTTAGGCATGTGAATGTCAGGCCAGCAGTCAAGCTAGTTGGCTTAGGCTGTCAGAGGGCTGTTATGTAACGGATTATTATTATTATTATTATAACTGATAAGTGCTACTGTCCAAAATAACTTTCCTCATTGAAATATGCAGTGTAAGTATCACAGATATGTAGATATGGGACAACAATATACCATTCAAGAAGTATTTTGTGAATTGGGGCCATATTGACTAACTAAGTAGATGGCTGACCGAACCCGAAGTTTCATTACCGAATTAACCAAAGCCCTCCACCGGACCCTGTCCTGGGCCAACAAAATCCAGTCTCCTTCAACTCCTAAACTCCCATAGATCCCGCCTGGCATTATCCTCCCATCTACGTCTAGGTCTCCCCAGAGGTCTCTTCCCCTCGGGCTTCGCAATGTTAATCTAAACCAAAATCACTTCTATTGAGAGCAGATGCCAAGTAAAATGATGCAGACAACACCTGATTTCAGACCAATTATTTCCAGGCCCGCGTGATTCTCCTGGATTCTCCTGATGAAAAGTACACGTAGAAAATATAAATATCTGTGTCAAAGATAAGATTTTGAAAGTGAGAACTTACTTCACAATGAAGATAGCATCGTTATTTGCATTATAGACCATTAGGTCAAGGTGTTAATATCTATCTCTCTATTATAAAAATTTGTGATTTGTCGTCATCGTCAACCTATTTGTAGGTAGAGGTGTAAGACAGGGATGCTGCTTATCACCAATTCTTTTTAATGCATGTAATGTTACAATCTTGTAATGGGGCATACTGAATGAATGAATAAGTAAGTAAATAAATAAACAAACGTCATCAAACAAACATTTGTTTACTCGGCATTGTTGGGTATACCAACACAACAATGCCGAGTATTAGGGTCGGTTGCGTTTTAAAAACTTGACCAACAACTTATACAGTTTATCGAAAAATGCATAAAATTGTTAAAATTAAAGAAATTGAACATAATTATGACTGTGTTGCACATTCTTTTATGAGCTCAGTTTTATATGTATTTATATTGACTTGTAAACTAGTTTTTTGTTAGAAGATTTCTGTCTTCTGGGTTATTGCGCTGTGTAGTCTGGTCGATGTTAACCAACGTTTCAGAGGTCATACTGCCTCCGTCATCAGGGATCACCGCTGTGAGAACCTCAAGTCTTACATAGTTTTTTGTTAGTCTGTAAACAGCCTACATGTGATTCATCTTGGTATTTATATTCCCAATCAAATTAACATAATTACCCTTGCACTATCTGTGTCATTTAACTTGGCTTATAGCAGAATTGTGTCCACGAGGGAGTAAAGTTAGTGTGACATGCTTTTTGCATACCCTGATAAATGCTACGTCCCACACCGTAGCCGCGTGGTCTGAGGCATCATGCTTCGGACCGGCGATACGGAATGCGCGCTGGTTCGAGTCTCGGGGAAAGAAATTTCTCATGATATTTTCGACCGGTGTCACACAGCATCATGAGGAAATTCGGGAGCTTCAATGGGTTGCGTAATCCGGTCATGAAAACTGACAATGGCCGGGGGTTCGTCATGCACAACACACGTCACTCTGTATCTGGTTGGATGATCGTTCACCTCTGCTTAGGCATGTGAATGTCAGGCCAGCAGTCAAGCTAGTTGGCTTAGGCTGTCAGAGGGCTGTTATGTAACGGATTATTATTATTATTATTATAACTGATAAGTGCTACTGTCCAAAATAACTTTCCTCATTGAAATATGCAGTGTAAGTATCACAGATATGTAGATATGGGACAACAATATACCATTCAAGAAGTATTTTGTGAATTGGGGCCATATTGACTAACTAAGTAGATGGCTGACCGAACCCGAAGTTTCATTACCGAATTAACCAAAGCCCTCCACCGGACCCTGTCCTGGGCCAACAAAATCCAGTCTCCTTCAACTCCTAAACTCCCATAGATCCCGCCTGGCATTATCCTCCCATCTACGTCTAGGTCTCCCCAGAGGTCTCTTCCCCTCGGGCTTCGCAATGTTAATCTAAACCAAAATCACTTCTATTGAGAGCAGATGCCAAGTAAAATGATGCAGACAACACCTGATTTCAGACCAATTATTTCCAGGCCCGCGTGATTCTCCTGGATTCTCCTGATGAAAAGTACACGTAGAAAATATAAATATCTGTGTCAAAGATAAGATTTTGAAAGTGAGAACTTACTTCACAATGAAGATAGCATCGTTATTTGCATTATAGACCATTAGGTCAAGGAAAATGGCTCTTGTTCTTCCTGTAATCCATTGATTGTTCTTCAAGGTTAGCAATTTCTCAATGGCTTCGCTACGGTTGAGTGACAGATCTTCATAATATCCTCCGCCTCCATACTTTGAGAATCTTCCCCGATAACTGGAACCACCCAGTTCTTCTGCAGTGGAATAAGTCCACCTGTAGTCAGAAACAGTAAATTATTCTGCAAGCTGTCGCAGTGGCCGCGCGGTCTGAGGCATTGATCTTGGTCACTGGGACCAAGGGTTCGAATCCCACACAAGGCATGGGTGTTTGTCCGCGTTTTTCTGTGTTGTGCTGATCTGAGTATAGGTATAGGCCTTGCAACGGACCGATCCCTAGACCAAGGAGTCCTACCGAATGTCCATAGATCAAAGCCAACGAAAAATTAGGACCCGCAGTGCACAGGCACTTAAAGAATGGATCGTCAAAGTATCAAACTAAAGTAAATTAGTCTGCTTCCTTTAATTCCAATATACAAACACCGAAATATTAGTTCTGGTTATGTACATCTGCGTTTAGAGTTTATTCAAGAAAGGTAGATTGGTTCATCCTAGTAAATGGATGAACCTCGAATTAGTATAAATTTTGCCATCTGATACATGCATATGAGGTGGCAGGAAGGTCCAAGGATAATTCTCTTGTGAATAACCAAATTTCAGCTTTAAATGTTTGTCTGCAAGCTTTAGAATTTTCGTATGGATTTACTACATAATACAGACACACACACACACACACACTGTAGTATTACTTTCTTGAAGAAGTCCTAAAAGAAATCAGAAAACTATGTTGCACTACATCGACAAAGCGTATCTGCTAATAACAGTTCCAATTCCTCAAACACTTTTATAGAGGCGGTTGTGTGGTGTTTAAATATATCTTTCAAATGTTTTCCTATAAACATAAACGGAATATTTTTATTTATATCAATAAAGTTGTCTATTGAAAATGTTAATTGAAAACTTACGCTGTTCCGTTTCCTGGCCAAAATGGTTTTGTGTCTTCGTACGCATGTGAATATGGTTCATAACATAGTTCGATTGATCGATTTAATGATTGACGTACTACGCACGAATCATTTCTCACTCTCACCTGTAGACATCAAAGTTTTACTTGCATTCTAGTTACTCCAGTACACACAAAAGTCCTATGCTTTAGTAACGTGACACTTATTCATTAGAAATGCTGTATGATGAAACAGTTCATATGAATGTATCTTTTAACTACTGAATTCATTATAATGTTTTTAATATTCAAAATTAAAAAAATTAGATTAATTTATAAATCATAAGGCATGTATAGGCGCCACGGTGGTCTAGCGGTTAGAACGCTGGCCTTGTAATCCTGGGGTCTCGGGTTCGATTCCCGGCGGTGCCCGAATTTATAACTTGTGTTGGGCAAGGCCGTGGTCTAGGCAACACGGAGTTTTCCTCCGGGGGCTTCCCCGGTTTCTCCGTGGCATCCCAACAATTACTCCATTCACACACAGAAGAAGGCAATGGCAAACCACTTCTGGATCATCTGCCAAGAACGTATATGAACAGGTCCCAGTCCGAGAAAAGGATGGAAGGATCCTGTTCATATGGACCTGTCGTCAGACAGAACACTAAATAAATAAAATAAGGCATGTATTATCAAAAGAATGCTAAATTTATTTCACTGAAAATATTACGTTATAAAGGAAAATGTACAAACCTGTCGTAGGCGTGGTACTCCAACCAGCTTACTATCTTGCAACACAAATGCTTGATGTGTATCATTTTCGGATTTCCCGTATATACTGTCGATCATTACAGTTTCTGCGAACTAAAAACAAAAGTAATTAATCGCGTGTAAAAACAAAGATCATAAAAGTTAAATATCGACTGTAAAATGCAGTGCATTCGAAACCATTATCTAAATATGAACTATCAGTCATTAACTGTATGATACATAATATTCTTAGAGTAGTTAATTTGCATGTACTCAGATGATCAATGATCTTTTTAAGTAAATGTGGTGATGCTGAGAAATGCCTGCCTGTTTCCAAGACCCATTTTAATGCTGTTCTTTTATATCTGCCAGTGTTTTCCAAGTGGGCTCTTTCTTTGAATTTTTCAATCAAAATTATGAACACGTTTCTTGAACATTATCTTTCCTATCCATTTCGCATTACATGGTTTCCTCATGCAAACAGTGCTGGGTGTTCAATAGCAAAAATTTTCAATCCCTATTAAAATGTGCTATTTATTTCATTTTGAATACAGACAGAAGTTGTGAATATTTGTAATAAAATGCCACAGTCCAGTTAACAAGGGTGTTACCTTCATGTGGTCTTTCCAAAATCTGAATATTAAAATTTATAGAGCTATCTTTTTGCAGCAAGATAGAAGAAACATTATGACAATGGGGAGTATTGCATAATGCTGTCAGGATGATTAAATCCGGAAGTTTGAGATTGGCAGGCCATACAAATATATACAGAAAGACGGATTTCATACAAAATTTTATTTCTAAGATTTGGTAGAAAGAGACCATTTGGGTACACCAGGTTGGATTTTGTTTTATGAACACCGACTTGAAAGTGATGTTAATTAATCTTCTGGTGCCATAATAGAAATTACTTGTACAGTTGGATAACTTTTTTATAGTAATAATGTTAACTGCATAATCACTTAATTAGCAAATGATTTTCTTAAATCACTTCATTATCTCAACATAACAGCATTTATGTATGTCCCAATCGCAAATTTATCTTAAATTCATACCTTCCAGAATTGAGTTATGGTTGATAAGTTTTTGAAGGTTCTTTCTGCAACACAATCATGAAACCTAGCATCCATAAACGAATCATTAAGATGGTTTTTGCACCAATACCACATGGGTGGATTCCCCAATGTTACTGAAAAAATAAATTGATATTTTCAAAAAAATATAAATAATTCCACGGGGTAGAACTTCGATCACAGGAGAAGACAGAAAAATTATGATAAGTGTGTTATTTAAAAAATTAACAATTTTTATATAAGTTTAAATAAAACTATAAGTTTCTCACTTTTTCAGTTGGAATACATGCACTGAATTTTCATAATTCCGGGCTGTGGCATGAACAAATGTTTACCAGGAATTCACCTTTCTCAAGGAAGGCTTATAGAAACTGGTGTAAAATACAGAACTCGTGAAGATCTATAACTTTCTTTTGGGAAATTATTCGTCTTATGTATTTAATAGAAAAGAAAAACATTGTATTCCCTATAGAATTAAGAAATGCACTATTAATTAGCTTTATCAACAATGGAATTTATGATTATGCAACATGAAGTATTTGTATCACTGTTTAGCTAAACAAGAGTTGATATGTAACTTGATTAAATGAATATCAAGATGAGTGAACTTTCCAAATCACAGAAAATTTGTTTGAATGTGTATGTATTCCAATATTTGGGCCTAAGAGAGAAGGTGGCGTTGTCTGGAGAAAACTACATAAAGACGAACTTAAAAATTTGTAATCCTCCAAAGCATTGTCAGGGTGATTAAATCGAGAAGAATGAGATGGGCTAGGCATGTAGCGCGCATGGATGGGACAAGAGGTGTGCACCAGGTCCTGAGGGGAAGAGACCGCTGGGGAGACCTAGACGTAGATGGGAGGATAATCTCATGCGGTATCTATGGGAGATACGATTTGAAGGAGACTGGATTTTGTTGGCCAATGACAGAATCTGGTGGAGGGCTTTGGTTAACTCCGTGATGAACCTTCGATTTAATTAAGCTATCAAGTTAGTTATGTATTCCAAATTGGACTATAGTTTTCCTTTCCTGTTAAATACACACACTTGTAAAGCAGCGCTCACAAGGTGCCAATGTTACGTAATGATCGTGGATAAATGACCCTATTGTACATAATAACATAAAATCGAAAATAGGACTTTACTATGTAGGCAGTACAATTAATGTGTTTTATTAAACCCTTTTGGTTGCAGTACCCTGTCTGATCATCAATTACACTGTACTCTTGGTAAAACCATGTAATTCTAAATTTACTTACCTATTATCAGTACGAAGAGGAAGATTAAGTACAGGATGAATTTTATGTCATCCAATATGGTCCCATTCTTGTTAGGTGATAAAATTGCAAGTAAATACTGTTTCATTCCTAAAACACAAATTAATTTATATCAGTACTGAGAATTCTTAT